GTTTTGATTTCTATTTGTATGCACTGTAAGAAAATCAAAGCTTGACTGGTTATTTTGGGGTAGAACTTAACTGCTCTTTGTTTTTATTTTCTTTACAGGTTTGGGCAACTTCAGGTAGTAGATCTTGAGTCCATTGAACCTTCGCTTAGAGCTGGTATGAATCTTGGTTGCATTGTGATGATTGATTATTGCTTATTAGTGTCTCTTGGTCTAGAATTTGGAAAGCGTAAATCCTTTCCCACTTCGATAAGCATGAAAACTTGATTTACTAATACTAAGTTCCCTATCCCAATTGGTTGTGACACGATAGAAGGCTTCTAGTAGCATTTAGCCATCTGCTCCATACTAGCACTGTGCTTAACATCATGATAACATCACTTGATTTACTGGCCCCGTTCGCTGGTCTGAACTTTGGCTGAAACTGGCTGAAAAATACTGTTCCGGCTGAATTGTTGTGAGAGAAAAACACTGTTCCGGCTGAAAAAACAAGCCGAACAAGCCAAACTTTAAGACAAGCGAACGGGGCCATAAAGCTTAACCCATTTTCGATGTGCGTGAAAACATGATTTACTGAGTTACCTATCCCAATTAGTTGTGACACAGCAGAGGGCTTCTAGTGAGCATTTAGCCATTTGTTCCATACTAGTACCGTGCTTGGCATCATATGTGAAATGGAAGAATCATGAAAGAAGGATTATAATGTCATCAGTTAACTATATTTTAAACAATTAGTTCTGAATTCCAATGCTTTCATCCAAAAACCAAATATTTTATTTGATTCCCTACCCCCAAAACCCCAAAAGAAGAAAAGGTGTACTGCAATGTTATTATTTTGTTCGTGGAGCTGTTAAGATTAAAGAGTTCCTAGCAGCCCGTTACACAATAATACTTATTAACTGTTAGTCCGTTTCTGTATGTTTATTTCAGCGGATTACCATTTTTCATGTTCCACTATCTCATCCACAGGTACAACGGCTGATAGTTCTTTGAGAGAAGATAAGCCTGAAACATTCGATAACAGGTGAGCAAGGCAATGGCTCTTCCATTATTTTCACTAAAGCGCTACATGCTTTGCAACGAAAGCCTGAGTGTCTTCTTTTTTGTTTTTTGTTTCTTGTCAATGCAGAGATGCCATAGTGGAGGCCATTCCAAGTTATGATGATCCATATATCAAAGTGCCAAGAGTGCTGAACAAAGAATGATCTGTAGCCTGTATATCAAAATTGTTAGAATATTAAAACTCTGCGCCATTTGTACAATGCAGCATGGTTAAACATAATGATAAAATCTGCAAAAAGATCGAACGAGCCATCAGCAAGCTGAATTGATTTTGTGCATTTCAATTTGATAATGCTGTGATTGAACAGAGCAATCAGCAACCTTGCATTGGGACAGGATAACAGGAAAGATTTGGGAGATCTGCTTCAGGAGATACCTTGTTTTTTTAATGCAATTATTTTTTGCTCTCTAAAGTATAGACTAGTGAAGTCTTGAAGCCCATCCTAATCTATTTTCAATTCCTTGGAGATTATGCTCCATTTGTTAAAGGCTTTTGTCAATCACCTGGAGAGTGGAATCAAAGTTATAGCAGAGCTCTCTGCCAATCCTATATTTAGGGTTGAGAATGTGGTGGTCCCAATCTTAGTCTGTAATTAGTCTACCTATTTCTTTAGATTGGTATATGTTAAACTGTATTTCTTTTCTTAAAAAAAAGTTGGCTAATTTTGACTGCCGATAACCACATTTGTCAAGCCTGTTCCTCCTCACGTGATAACCATGCTGGAACGTGATATGCCTGGTATATCAGAGTTGTTGGGCATGTTGGCATTTTGGATATCCAGGAGCAAGGAGGGGATGAGCAATGCATTAGCATAGCAATGCATAGCATTCACAGGGTTCTAATTTGCAGTCATAGGGTTCTCATGGTATACCATGCTTAGAGTCACGTTGCTCCTCGGACGACTTTGTTATCCCATTTATGTTGGATATGGTGCTTGGAGTCACATTGTTCCTCGGACGACCACGACCACCTATGGTGCTTATAGTCACATTGTTCCTCGGACGACCATGACCACCCATTTGTGTTGGATCTGTATTATTAGACCACCTATTTGTGTTGGATGTGTACTATTGTCCCGTTTGTGTTGGATCTGTATTGTTATTGGTATCGAAAGCTTCTTCCTTATGATACATACTAACTCCACTATAGCTTATTTCTTCTCATAACTAACTACACACATGCTTATGATATATACTTCTTCCTTCTCATAACTAACTCCATTCTTCCTTCTTATGATATATACTACCTCCATCCTTCTCATCCACTCTTACTTCCTTTTGATATACACTAACTCCATCTTTCTCATAACTAAATCCATTGTAGCTAACTGAGAGATTGGGGAGAACTAATCCAATGTCTTATTACTATATACTAACCGAGAGATTGGAGAGAACCAAATCATCAAACTGAGAGATTGGGGAGAACTAATCCAATGTCTTATTACTATATACTAACCGAGATATTGGAGAGAACCAAATCATCACCGCCAATCCAATTGTCAGGATAAACGCTAATTCCATTGTTTACAGAGACAACCAAATCATCATTGCCACTCCAGCTTTATAAATCATAACTGCCAATCTAGTTTCTCGTGATATAATCTCCACTATATATAGAATCATAACCGCCAATCGGCTTCACCTCCATAGAGTTGATGTTTGGTTTTTGACACCTATAATTAGATGATGGCTAATACTATATAAGTACACTAGTTGTACATTGCTGGTATAGATCATTTGGGGATGCATGTACATTTATTTAGGAATCACTTGGAGATGAAGATTCCATGATCGGAGTGGTGCTTATTCCTTAGTCTCGTGGTCCTTGTGTCACCGATTGCAATATTGTTGGTTCGGTAGAACTGCAAGCGAGCTTGTCCGCAAACTCGCAAATAGGCCTAATTGTTGCAGTGCAGGAAGTCAATCTGCAAGGTGCACCCTCTGCTCTGGAACAAGCTATCATGGATATTGGATGGGATGGAGCTTTCGAGTAGAGCATACACCGATGAGTAGTCTTGTTGGATTTGATTTAGAATGGCTAGCGGATTTGATGTTTGTTAGATTGAGTTGGTTGTTCCCTTTATTTAACAAGCATTTGTAGTTGTTTTTGTAACCCCATGCTGATCTTGAACCTTTCGTCTCCCCCTTAATACAAAGCATGCAACACACGAGCTTAAAAAGTTCTCATAGATAAATTAACTCTTTCAGTTTCTGTGTTTTTCGTTATTCCATTTCTTAGAATGGCTAGGATTATTATCAGACCATGCCCACCATAAGAGTCATTTATCTACTAGCTAAAACGTGTGGAAGAAACCTTCATTTGTAAGTATAAGTATTGAGATATGAGCAAATCATAATGACAACACTATTTTTGGCATCTGACAACATTACCACTTTAGAGTCCCATTTAGACATCTCTTCCACTATTGCTATGTTATTGCCATCTTTCTCTATATAAGGAATCATTGCAGCTATTTATATGACTAACACCTTTGGTTCTTGAAAAGAATCTTCCTCCGGATGTTCATTGTTGTGATCACATTTCGCAAAAAATGTATGATAAGTTTTTTTCTAAAAAGTGTGATGGTTTGTTGTCCAAGCACTGACATGGTTCTATATGAAACTCATACAAGAAGCATGGCACTTTAGTGACAATGATAATACAATTTTGGGGTTCATACCTGCACAAATGGATGGCTAGCTTATATATAAATAGCATAGCATAGCATAGCATGGCCAAATAGAAGTACATCTAGCCTAAACATGATTCTTTACAAGTATACTTGTTGCAATATGTAAGTGTTGCATCCATACCACTGAGATGGCTAGACGAGAGATATGAGGAAACCAATGTGCCCATTATTCTGTCATGTCACAAATGATTTGTTTTAACTCATTTGCTAAAAAAAATGAAACACAATGATTTGGTTTAACTTTCTGCTGAAAAAATAATGAAACTGTTTCTCTGCTCCGTCAAAGATGATTACCACGATTACTAAAATCGAAGTACGCGACATGGATGGACCGTGTTAGTTCAAGATGCTCTTCAATAAAGAATTCAGGATGCACAAGTCCACAAAATGGACGGCATCAAGAATGCATAAGTCCACAAAAATGGATGACATCAAGAATTCAAGATGTGAAATTCATGGCTTGATCAACAATAGCAATTACTCACAAGTAAATTGATCAACAATAGTAACTACTCACAAGTAAAATCTGCTTGATTAACCACGTCAATAACAAGAGGTTATTCTTCGATAAAGAATTCAAGACGCAAACGTCCACAAGATTGACCGCGTAAGAAGTCCATGGCTTAAATCGTCGATAATTCAGGATGCTATTCTTCAATAAAGAATTCAGGACGCAAACGTCCACAAGGTTGACCACGTAGAAAATCAATAGTATCTACCTCAACAATATTGCTTAAAACGCTCCATGGTGTCGTAGTGCTTAACTGCTTCATGGCAAACCAACCCGCGTGCCCTATGAACTTATCGGTCTGGCTTATCAGCTATGATTTTCTCTCACAATAAATCAGCTTCAGCTGGCATATCGGTCGTAGAAACCATCAGACGAATAGCTCAGGACCCTGTTTATTTTAGCTTGCAGATTGTGGATTATTTTTTGCAGGTTGTTCCAATCCACAGGCCAAACTAAAAAGGTCTCAACGCAGGACAGATTCATCACACATCTTAAAAGGGATTCGCACACAATAAAAGGGGAGCAGTCCATACGTCAAATTCTGATTGTTAGAGCCCAATAATCTAATTTCCCCTGGCTTGTAGATTGTAATAATCTGCAAGCTAAAACAATCACTATCTATTTTCAGATCAAATTCAGCATTTTCTGATTGTTCGTATTTCAAAGTCTTGACAGAACATCCAACGTTAATTTCTACTTTACATAAATTCTAGAGTCAGCAGCCTTGAGAAATGCAACTAGGCTGCACATTGTTGTTTCTGCACCCCGGCATAAACAAGATTGCAGCCATCCTTTTTCAGACCCACCATGGCACACAATTTACACCATGCTCCACTCCCAAATCACAGCCTACTTTTTGAACCTTTGTAAGAAAAAAATTGGGTCGACATCGTGCTTCCTTTGAATTTGTTCTTTATGGTCAAACTTCAACCCTAGATTTGAAGTCATAGGAATGGAAAAAACGAATTAATGTCGAGGAACAAAATTCAATTAGTGGAGCAGATTCTGGTCAGAACGTCAACTGTTTTCATGGAGAGGTAGTATTTATCAACAATTGATTAGCTCACATATAACTACACAAACCTGCTGACTCATCAGAATCTCAATGGCGACATTTGGATCTCCATCAGCTGCAGCAAGAGCAACTTCAGCCTGAGTCTGCAGCAATATGATCAATTCATCAGTGAGGTAGTTGACAGCCATAGCATATATGTACAACATAAGCAAAACCAGAAATGTGGATGAAAAACTGAAACGATTGTGGGCTCTTAAAAAACATGTGACTATTAAGGTGTGATCTCTGCCTTCTAACATTAGTATAACCTAGCATGTGTATCCCCCAATGCACTTACCTGAAACCTCTGAAAAGTCATCAAAACAGGCAAATACAGATAACCAACAGTGGAAATAGGCCATTTTTGTTTTTGTTGAAGCACTTTGTTGTGAATATTAATATAGGTGGCTTAGGTAGAGGCCAGGACATGATCAAACAGTATACCATCATGATAGGATAGATGGGAAATGTACTAAACGCAATGAAGTAATTAACATTCAGAACAAGACTTAAAATACCTTTTCAAAGTCCATCCCAATCAGCTTCTTAAGTTCTTCATCAAATGTATCAACCTGCAGTAAGGATGTAACCAAGAACTGTTACTAAACCAATAGAAAACCAATAAAAATCAAAATAAGGGACAGAACACGGAACCTGCTCAGCTGCCACCGTTGCATCAGCTCTGACTGTGTTCACAGCTGTATGCCTGTTGATATGAGCCTCATATTAGAGTACTGATTCACAGATGTGTTGATAACAACAAAATGGAACACTTTTGAGGAAGATTTTTTATATTAGATACATACATACATACATACATACATACATATATATATATATATATATATATATATATATATACTGTTCTGCAGCTGGCCATAGAATAACTTATTCTGTGGCCACTTTGAGTTACGATAATTACCATGCTAATTTACGAGATTACACTAACTCCTTACTAAATGATTTACTATAACATTATCGTAAATACCACCGTGAGTTGTAGTAACACGAGTATCGTAAATGCACATTCATGTTATCGTAAATTGGTACAAATATTATCGTAAATCAAGGTGGTTGTAGAATAAGTTATTATATGGCCATGTACCAATTTACGATAACATGAATGTGCATTTACGATACTCGTGTTACTACAACTCACGGTGGTATTTACGATAATATTATAGTAAATCACTTAGTAAGGAGTTACTGTAATCTCGTAAATTAGCATGGTAATTATCGTAAATCAAGGTGGCCACAGAATAAGTTATTCTATGGCCAGCTGCAGAATAGCCTTACCCTATATATATATATATATATAGAAGAAGCATTAGGAGCTTTGTTTGCTTGCCTTACAATTAGCTCATAGCATGTGGTTGTCCACTAAATCAAAAATTCAAGATTATAGATTACAGACGCAGGTTGCATCATTCTCAGCACCCGCAAGAATTCAGGTTACCAGCAGTAACCATACAATAAAAGTTCACTGTTGTAGTGTTGTCAACAACATTATCCATATACAAAGCTAGATAATGGAAACCTGTGTTATTTATTTTTCATTTCAGTTATTGCTTCAGTATGCATGCTTCCGCAATTGGAAAAAAGTTCGCTGGGTCTGGGAAACAAAACAAAAAGAACAGCAAGGCTGTGAACGTGCTCCAACATAAACTACCACTTCCTTCTCTTTGTATCACATACTATTATTATCTATATGTGTCAGTTTAGTATAACTTCACTGGAGCAAGAATTTTCACATGAGATGCAAATATAATTGATTTGCTAAGTTACCATATCAACCATGTGTGCATCTGAATCACGCTCAAATTGGCTCAAGCACATTGAGCTAAACTTGCTCGCCAAAAGGCAAGCCTACAAGTGCTAAACAAAACCAAACAAAGTTCCAACAGGATCCCTTGATACAACAGAGTTTTACTTCAGATCATAGTCTTTACAAAAGTGATTTCACAAAAATTGTCAAACAGAAACTTATTACCAATTTGTCAATAAAAGGAAACTTATTACTGATATGAATTATTTCATAAGGGCTATGACAGCTTTTCATGGGAGGATTTGACATACAGGAGGCAGGAAGTATACACGGTGCAAATAGAAAAACAGAAGACAAGGAAGTGCTAAAAAATAGTTTTGACCTAATTATTTATTGAGGATAAGTATCTGATTTAGAATAGAAGAACAAAACATGAGTCATAGTGTTTGCGAAAAAAAGAACTTAGAAGAGATCATCTGATATATTCCAAATTGCCGTTGCTTCATGTGATTTTCTGATTTCAAAGCATACGTGGAAACACAGGAAGTGTAATACATTAAAGCAATGTCAAGTAGAAAATGCATTACTGTGTATTCGTTAGTGGGTCACTTGGAGTTGTGTTATCCAACAACCGAGCATGCAAATGTGCACTTGCCTCTCTTGCAGTGGGTTCAGTTCCTGCAGAACCAAGTGTTCGTGCTCTCCCAGGAAACCTTGGGTCTTCTCCTTCCTAAAGGAGAAAAATCAGCAAATTCGTAAGCTCACACTACCTCTGTTCCAAAAAGAATGCCGTTTTAGTTTGGCAAGTCAAACTATCTTAGGTTTGACCAAGTTTATAAAGAAGATTATCAACATTTATAATACCAAATAGGTACACTACAAAAATAGTTTGACTTAGGACAAAACTAGAATGAGATTCTTTTTGGACGGAGGGGTATACTGTAGGAAGTAGCTAATGACAACAAAACCTTTAGCTCCAAGCAAGATAGTTAGGTAACACATATTTCAGAAAGATAGTTTATGAATTCGTAATGTACTGATCAACACAGAAGGACAATATTGTGACCTAACACGTATCATGTGGTATTAATCTTGAAATTAACTTCCATAACCAGGAATCTAGCAGGTTGTAGGTTTTACTGTGTAACTATCCAACATAACTTTCTGTTCATGAAGCTTTTGGATTATTTTTTTTATAAAAACTCACAGAAAGATGTTAAAAAAAGTGCAGCACTCAAAGGAGAACCTTTTGTTTTATTTAGAGGAATGTTTGGAATAAGTTTCTATCAGTTGGATGAACAAATTGCATAAAAGTCACATAAAAATTTGCTAATATGTTGTATTCTTCCATGGAAGGATTCAGTTTTGATCCAGGTTCCTCAGAAGCTTTAACAAACAGCTTCAAGGAAAATCTACGTGAATCAGAGAGCTAAATCTAATGATTTCTCAGCAGATCAAAACTTTTAACATGCATGTCTAGAACTCCTACCATAAGCCATGACTAGATACTTAGGCCACCACAGAATAGGTGAAAAACAAATCAGATTGGAGAAGCCCCAAAAGCCTTCCAGGTTACAGTAAATTTCTACAATGGTTGCTAAACCCTAAGCAGAGGATGAACATCACCAACAGAAAATTATTGCAAGTATGAGCATATTTGGGTATATGGCATTGCCATTTTTTCAATACCTGAGCAGTTGCTGTGTGTCTGCTAGGCATCCATGAAGATATATTTCTCAAGAAATTTTCACTTATGAGAGCACTGTAAATTAAAAGAATAACATATTACTTCTGTGAGCATTACATCAAAAGGAATCAATCTGAAACAATACCTTGGTGCAGCAGACGTGTTAGAGTATGTTGGAAGCTGACCATAAGTAGTGCCTCCAGTACACATAATAAAGCCGGGACGCCTCACACAAACAGACTGACATCCAATACATCAGACAATAAATACAGATATAAGAAACATCTCATACAGAAGATGGATCGTATGGTCAGGATAACTTAAACCATTTAAGCAAAACTTACTAGTGCTGGCAAGCCTTCGATTTTTGAATAAAATGATGGCCCAGGAAGCAAGTAGTTGAACAGCCCATAAGTGTCTGGTGCCAAATAAATAAGCTCAGCAAGGAACATGATTAAAAAAGTATAATATAGCTCGTGAAGACTTAACAAGTAAGAAGGATATAAGGGACAAACATGCAAATCCTGATAAGATGCCACACAGGTGCCCCAGCAATGAAATATTTCTTGCGAGAAACTGAAATAGCACCAGCAAAATCCATGCGTACCTGACATTGTACGCATTTAAGTTTTTTTTACATAAGATGTGGGTCTCCAATACTATCTAGTAACCGGAAATGAATAACATCAACACATGCGAAAAATGAGTACCATTTTGCAGGAACATTGAAGAGGCCGAAGACACTGGAAAAAGAGAAAGGGTGTCAAACTGTATGAAATTAATATCACAAAACTGAAACACAACTAATATCATTTAGAAAGTTGGAAAAATAAATAGAAATTCTTTGGGCATACAAGTAAGGAAAAATCTTTCTAAATCAAGAAAAATTAAATTGGACACTTCTAGATAGTTCTTTTTACTGCTGGCACTATCAAGCTCTTGCCACTATACATCGGGCATACAGGTTAGAAAATAACAAGAACTAAAAGGTCTTGTTGGGAATTATTGTGGGGAAAGATATCTAATGCAAACTCATGTTCGGGTGTAGTCATGATAACTTTCCACATGAATCACAGGGCCAGCATGCATGGATACCAGGGTTATGGAAAACTTTCTGAATGGCTCCCTCTCATAGTCGCATGTAGGAGAATCCTCTTTGGATTCTCATCTTCTCTAGAGCCACTAAATTGTTCCATAACTGCATAACTTCAGCACATATGAAATTGCACTAGACGTGTGCCCTTATAATAGTGCGAATTGTTCCTATTTCAGTAACCACTTGGAATAGATAAATAACAATAAACAATACTAAAGCTGTGTAGACTATTTGAATGTGTAACCATACAATATTACAAAAAATTTGAACATTTTATACAATATACAATCAATGGAATCATATATTCAGCATGCACAAAAGATGGACATAATTCCTAGGCATCCCTCAGCAATCAGCACAGACAATTTGAGTACATGAAATTTTACTTTTACATAAAATGTTTATATTAAGTTCTTGTGAGACATTCGCATATCTGCTAAAAGCTTGTATAGGTCATCAAATATGATCACCATAGAAGGAAACGCACCTTCGTGATTGCACACCACTCAGACTTGTTTCAATGACAATCATTGAGAATATAACTCCAGAAAAGCCAATGGAGCATTCATTCACAAGATTTGGAACAGGATACAGAGGATTGTAAGCCACCAAGAAAGCAATTGTGAGATGGAGAATTGCATTTGTTGTTGCAAGAAGGAACATCAAGAATAAGAGGCGGACTGATCCCATAATTCTCTCCAGCTCAGTGCCCAAGGGTACCAAGGCAAGCATGTTGAATAGCACATGAAGCAAAGAACCATGAAAGAGAACAGATGTGTAGAACCTGTACACTGAAGAAAATTATGAAGTATGTCAGGGGCTCAGAGTGGACAATTAGATATACCAAAGAAAAAGGGCAAGTCTGGCATAATCTGAACGGGTAGGAAGTAACTATGGCTAAAGCATGTGTACATCAAATAGTTCATTCTAAAAATGTATAAGCAGTTTTCGAGCTTCTTCGGTGTTCAGAATATTAGAGTGGTGAAGATTTGATATTAACAAAAGCTTGTCGTCATTTCTCAGGATATCACACCAGACAATAGCAGGTAACTGACTATTCACTACATCAAGAGGTACAAGTAGAACTTGTATTTAACACAATTGAAGTTTGCCACAGGACAGGAGTGCAAGTAAGGTCTCAAAAGGCCCACATTAAACAATGACAAAGGAAATTTCCTTATGCATTATACCTTCTAAAATGTTGAAGAAACATGTTTAGTTACCAGGAAAAGTGTGAGAAGGAGACAGACCTTGAAAATGCGATGCTACTGCAGAAGGCAAGAAGCATATCTCCGCATAGGAGTCATAGCCAATCAACAAGCACAGCAGATAAATTACTCCACACATCAAGACAACACCAGAAGTAACGAATGGAATGCTGCTCCACCACTGGTTCAACCTAGTTGGAATCCCAGCCTGCGTCCATGGAAAAATGCCATCATAACCCATAGTAAGCTAAACAGTGTATCAAAACAAACCCCATGCTACCATCTAGATACATACACCAATACACCACAATAAGCCACATTCCAAGTGTCTAGCCCAAACAATTTCGTGACAACCTATAATACCCAACAGCCGCAACCACACCAAAACCATTGGGGCAAACCCTATACGCAGAAACAGCATGTCACAGCAGAAACCTGTTCCAAAGCATGCAAACCGCCCCATCCCTAGCTCAATCTACATGGGCACTCCCCTCACAAACAAACCCCATAATCATAGCACCACACACCCCCTGAACTGCACCCCCAATCCCTGCAGGCCGCAGCAACCAGCTCAAACCCTGCCAATTGTGACGGATTTCGCCATCCTTAGCAGCGCCTCAACACCGGATCTCGCCTGTCTCACAGAGGGGATTGGAAACCATTTCCGCAGCGACGTGAAGCGAATGCGCCTTAGATCGAAAGTATCGGAGTAGGAGCCAAGAATAGAAATCGCACCTCTGTGATGATGTTGGGGCGCATCTCGGACACGCCGCTGCCGCGAGCAAGTAAGGGGTTAGGATCGATGCTTCGAAGGCGAAGGGGAAGGGCACACCACCAGCCGAGATCTCGAGGGTTTTGGGGGACCCGAGCAATTGAGCCGTTGCTTGCTTTTGCGGATTGAAGGGGTTGGGGGTCGCCGGTTCGGTCCTTTTTTTTTTCGGAAAATGTATAAGCTACCTTTCTTGTACGGCGCGTGAAAAGAAGGATGAAGCAGTGGCTGGGCCTGTAATGTCAGCGTCGGATGATTTATATAGTAGGATAGATAGAAGGTTCCAAAAGGCCGATCTGTCGTGCGGGAAAAGGGTCGTCGGGCCTTTTCCTGTGCCTCTGCATTTGGCCACGTTGGTTTCGCTGAAATTTAGCTTAACGTGTTAATTTGCTGTGAGAAAAAAATATTATTGACTTGCTGAAAAATCTGGGTTGTGTTGGGTTCGGGCCGTATTGTGACAGAATCGTCCAATTTATACAAGATCAAGTATGGTTGTTCCCACTAACACGTTGACACGCGCATACTTTCACTTATACAAACCCGGTAGTCCGCCGAGTATCACGAAGGACCTCGGTAAATCAACATCACAACCAAGATCGCGTGATTAAGCAAAGACACATCACATACGCAGAGTTGCAGCGGAAATAATATTACAATTGGGTTTACAAATAATAGTACAAGTTTAGGTTTTAAAACCGATTAGAGAAAACAACATAACTTTCAAATGATTATATTAATATAAGTTCCAAATACATTGCTAGCATAAGTGACATCCTCTGATAAAAGCATATCGGTGAGAAGTAAATATAGAGTCACCGAGCCCACCGGCGGTTAGCCACCATCTTCCGCATGCCAAGAACTTCACCTGCAACATGATGCGATAAACCATGAGTACTCGAATGTACTCAGCTAGACTTACCAGACATAAACCAAAATAAAGCGACACCAAGGATTATGCAAGGCTTTCTTTAGTGGACTAGCTGACTCGTTTGCGAAAATCATAAGCCATCATGAAGAAATCATTTTAAGTACTTTGCATCATCTTTATTATGACCTATCCATCTAGGTAAGCACCTATACTATAGCAATCACTTGATTAACCAACAAGATCCAGTTACCAATTTAGATTTAGCATATCTCATACTATCCAGATAACCATCATTGTTCCATAATAATTACTACGATGCGGTAGCTCGAGTCAAATGCTCACTGTCTAGGAGCGATAGCGATTCGAATCGATTCCTAACAAGCTGGTGATTTATTCCTCACACAAACCACGCTTCCCCCGTCAGGGTCGCTTAGATCACCAATGACACTTTCCAAGTAGCCGTGGGATAACAGTCATGGACCGCACTACCCAGAGACCGCCCGACTGGCAGGACGCACCTTGAGCTCACTCTTCGTGTCCCCGTCATACCCTCTTCAGCACCAGTCTGCTAATCTGAGTTTATCCCGGCTTGAAATAGTGTCACTAGCTTCGCGGTCGAAAGATACTTTATTCGGCCAGCTAAATGTGAGGCATGCGTTCAACATGACAAGAGGGACGAGCAACGATCGATCCTTAATCGACACAGATGGAAACTAACAACACCCCAGAACCCTGTCTAGTTGCCTCCAACTTTTTCCGTCCGGTCTCCAATTATCCATCACACATGGTTAATTCCAGGATATCATTCTTTCCATAGCTAAATTCTTCCAGTAACCACCTATAAATGTCGGTGATCGAAAATCACCGATCGCTACCGGTCTAAGCAAGACTAAGCAGTTATTCGATCCCGACCTAACAGGGCAAAAAGGTAATAAGGTAGGTGAAAGTGCATCTAACCCTTTAGTGGATTTTGGATGATTGAATGACAACGTGATTAAAGGTCTAACCCATTTGCTAAGTGTGGACAGGTTATAGGTTATCTCATAGGTACTTAATGAAAGCCAAAATGATGTGTTGTTGTATAAACAATCTAGTTCAAGCACAAGACAACAATGCAAATAGAATTCATGCAAAGGCTTATTTGTTGTGGGATTTCTATGTGCTATGAGAAAACAAGCTCTTAAGTATTAATTAATAAGACATGAGTGATTGCATATGGAATGGTCTCATATTTGAAGCTTGCTAAATTGAAATGAAAAGGACAACAATACAAATAAATGGATGATTCAACATAAGATGTGACTTGATGGCTTGAGATAGTGAAGATAGCAAGGAAAGGCTTCGAGGTACTAAGCAAGAGTGAAGGGCAAGCGACGGCATGGCGGCCGAAGAACCTAGCTAGGGTGAAGAAGAAAGTACTTGCATTTAGTTGAGGTACTAATCAAGCTACGATGGTCATATTGATGTGAAGGATCAAATCACTATTGGAGTGTTTGATAGAAGTGACTTGATACATTTGGGATTATTCAAATTTGATGAATGGAATCAAGTCACGTGCTCAAGATGGCTATGCTCAAGTGAAAAAGATCAATATCAACATGTTGGCACCCTCACTTGATGAAGATTGGAATACACGGCTTCGGATAAAAAACAAGAGCAACTCAAAAGGTTTAAATCCATTATACTTTTAAATTTGAGTAAATATGAATGTCGTACTATTAAGAGGGATGCATCATGTTGATAGATAATGTTTCATAAGTGCTCAAGCCAACCTAAGTGAGTTTTGAGTATTTAAGCGACAAAAGAGCTAACTTTATTTTTGCTGGTCTGGCAATACCGGACGTGTCCGGTATTTACCCAGCAGTTGTAAAATTGTTGTTCTCGGGTTGGTTCGTTGGGAGTTCCGACGTAGGTCGGGAGTTCCGACGGTCGGGAGTTCCGGCAAGGGTCGGGAGTTCCGATGTCTCGAACTTTAACTGACTTGGAGGGTTCACTGTCCTATTCATACCGGACGTGTCCGGTATGCATGACCAGAGGCCAACGGCTAGTTTTCCAAAGCCTTGAGGGTTGGGAGTTTCGACGTGAGTCGGGAGTTCCGACGGTCGGAAGTTCCGACATGTGTCGGGAGTTCCGACACCTCATATTCTTTAACTCAGTTATATGGTTTTCAAATTTGCTGAGGATCGGGAGTTCCGACATGAGTCGGGAGTTCCGGCGGTCGGGAGTTCCGATGCCTCACAACTTCACTGTAACTTAGTTACCGTTGGGGCAGTGTAAGTCATACCATACCGGACGTGTCCGGTATTGCAACGGCTATAAAACGGCTAGTTTTTCAAGAGGGCTATAAATACCCCCAAGCCTCCACCTTTGGAGGCTGCTGATTCTGCTGAGATAGACACACGTTTTTTAGCCTTGCCAACTCTTCTAAACCCTCTCTTAGTGAGTGTGTGATCCAAATTGCAAAATCAATCTGTGGGTTAAGAGAGAATTCGAAAAAGAGAGCAAGCCACCACTTGAGCACTTCTGCATATTGTCAATCTCGTGATTCGCATTTGTTACTCTTGGACTCTTCGGTCCTAGACGGTTAGGCATCGCCGGAGAGCACCCGAGAGATTGTGGTGTGTCTCGGAAAGTTTGTAACGGTCGATTCCGCCGCCTCGGAATCAAATTAGTGGAAGGAGAAAAAGGAGTTGGAAAAGACTCGGCTAGAGTGACCTTCGTGGTACCCTCTAGGGCTGACCTTCGTAGGGTCACCCACAGCCCCCTCAACGGAGAGTAGGACTCGAACGAGTCCAAACTTCGGTAAAACAAATATCGTGTCTCAATTCGCATTTCATTTGATATTTATGTTGCTCTAGCTATTCTGCAGGTTCTCTGTGTATATTGTTATCTCCATTAGGTGCCTGCAGTTTGGTTTGAAGATATAAATCGAAAGGAGCAAGTTCGGGGCTGATCTACATAAATCATGTATACCGGACACGTCCGGTATTCATACCGGACACGTCCGGTATTTCCTGCCTGCACTGAAAATATTTATTCTCTGTTCTAACTTGGTGTTGTAGGGTTGTAGCTTCTAGATATATTCTTTATACCTTGTTTACTCTGTGGCTAACTTGTGAGGGGTGGTAGTACTCTTAATTTTGAGTTTCCATTTTGGAAACTCCCCTTTCTAATTGTTTTCGCATTTAAAGGTGTTAATTTTTAGAAACGCCTATTCACCACCCCTCTAGGCGACATCCTAGGTCCTTTTAGTAGGCAAGGATAGTAATAAATGCATCAACGGTTTCAATCAACTCCTACAACTTAATGCAACAATATATAAACTCATATATAGGAATAATTGTTTTTATAAAGTAGGAGACTTAGAATGCTCCGGGGCTTGCCTGGGATCCGACACAAGTCAGTTCAGTTAGCTTGCACCATCTTGGTGACATCTCCGGTCCTAGCACTTGCTTAGTCCTTCCATCTTCGGGATAGATCCGCCAAACCCAATCTTCGAGTTCGGCCCCACATCACATCATTCACATGGTTCATCTAGCGTACCTAAATGAGATGCAAGATGCATGTGTATGAATGTGATGAATGGTAACACAAGATGCATCACATAAGCATTCAAGACAAACACAAGATTATGCACGACATAGACATCAATAGCTATTTAACTAACATCACACAACTAACTATAGAGAGCAAGCACATCAAGCATGACACAACTTTAACAAAGTCATAAGTATCATAACTTGACCATCAACAAGGGCATAAGCCACACTTAGCAACACATGGAGTAAACAACCACAACTAGCATATGTCTATTTCTGGACTGGAAACAACAGCTTCATGTTTGGATCATAACTAGAGTTATACAATCCAATAGACATGCAACAAGAGATTTAGGAAAGCTTATGAAATTCTCTACATTTCATCTATAACCATCACAACATGATTCACAAGTTAAGTGGGTCGAAATTATATATTTATAGAAACTGGTCTAAACAAGACAGAGAGCAATCAATTCTGTAACCCAACTTTAAACAGCCATAACTTTTAAACTACTTGGCCAAATGACACCAAATTTTAACAGAAGCTAGATACATGAATTATCTACAACTTTTGTATAAACAA